ACCCTCAGGCAATATAAAATCTTTTTGAAAGCAGTTGTTTACTAGATGTTTTAATCCAAAGTGACACACTCATTACATGGACAGTCTTTCTGAGGCGATCTGGGGTTTAGTGTCATGTACAAGAACTCAATGGTGATTGCTAATGACTTGCTCTTTTTTTCTATTTTTGCTTGTGATAATATACAAGGACGTGTACTACAAAGACAGACAAATAGACTGAATAAGTGAACTTCTATAAACCCACAAATTGTTTTTACATGATGCAAGTTCAAAAAGCTTTTAACTTTTTTTTTGTTTGATCAAACTTGTTTATCAGTTTTTGATCAAACTGACAATGTTATACAGAATAATTTCTAATCAAAATAGCATCAAAATAAGTTGTATATACTAATTGACCCTTCGCAGGGAGCTTGACTGACAGGCAAGCTGACCAATCATAACACCGCATCTGCATTTTGTCTGACAAACAAATCAGACAGGAGAGTAGATTAATTTTGGTGGACTTAAACTGGAAAAAATGGTGTGGATTGATGTCTTTCTGAGGTTTAAATAAAATACCTTCTGATGTTCATTCATGTTTATTTCATGCTTTAAGTAAATATGAAAAGACGATCAGTTCATGTGTTGCTTGAACTGAGGCAATACAGTGATCTGTCACGACACGTTAAAGAGCCACAAAACAGTATTTATTGTTTGAATTTCTTTTTAAAAAATCACAAAATTTGAAAGCTAAGACTTTGTTTCATAACTAAAGTAACCTGCTGGCATGTTGCCAGTTTCCTCTTTGCTTCAAGATGTATTTTTCACTGCGTGAGAACATGATAGTATGAGAGAGACATGGCTTGTCGGACATAGCAACCGTAAACAAGGGGACGGGTCTTTGCGAAGGGTCAATTGAAATGGAAGAAGCTTTACAGAAGACACTAACCTTAGTGTCAGGGTAAGAACTAATCACCCTAATAGTGACTTGAACATACAACTTACAAAAAAATGTAAGCAAAAACACTACATAGAACCAAAACAACTTTTAATTATAAATAACAAATATTTATGTCATCATAACAACTCATGCTTTAACCAAAAACACAAATTATTCAAGTGCATCATCAGCCTGTTTATTTGGACCCTCATCACCAAACTTGACATTGTAGGTTTTGGTGTTTAATATTTCAACTATTAAGTTGCTCATACTAAATTGCCTCAAAATTGACTGCAGTCTAGACAATTTTAAGCAGGGGAAAGTATTATTTTTATTATATGAGCATGATGGGATTATCCATGCTAAGGGTTGTGATGGACCGGTAAAGGTTCCAAGCTTATTTTTAGTCCCAATTCATCCCTGAACTGTTTTGACCACACAATGAGATATACTTGACTTTTTGAAGAATAATGAAATTGTGCAAATGTACATGAATACTAAAGGCGTATGGCAGGTGCATACAGTTTCTCTGGCTTTGTAAAAATGGAAAAGGATGGAGCTAGAATGTTTGAGTGTTATGAGTGTCATTTAACTATGGCCGTTTTTTTTAATGTTTTTTTTTGTAAAGTGCATGCAAGCATGTTTGTGTATATTTAGGTGAAGTACACTTACTGTATTGTTTGAATAAAAGTGACTGCTGAATGAAAAATTGTAATGTAAATATGAAGGTGTGTTACAAAATTAATGAGTACTGAATAGTACAGTGTAAACATCATGTTGCATACAAAAACGTGTATTAACCTCCTCCATAAAGTATTTACTTCAATTTACAGCACACAGGGAGCATTCAAAGGGGTCGAGGGATTTTCTCAGAGCTACAACAGTAATTGAGCTAAGGCAGATTGCAATAACTTACCGAATCTGAAGATTGAAGAATGAAGACTGAAGATTGAATCTGCGATTGCTATTGCACAATCCCATGCATTTTAGAAGCGTGCATGTACGCTCGTCTTTGTGTGTACATTCATTGATTTACATGCAAAGTGTTTCTTTAAGCAAGTATATGTGTGCATGTGTGAATGTTTACCAGTCTCAGGGGCCTTTAAGTGTGCTGCATAAATGTTTTTAAATAAGGGTTCTGTATGAGTGTGGGTAAGTGTTCGTGCGTGTGTTTGAGAGATGAAAGCGAGAGCAAAGGTAAATTAGAAGGGCTTGCAGTATCATCATTTTCCCACAGGGTAGTTTCATCTGCTGAGGGAACCACTTAGTTCTCTCACTTCACTCTGTGCTATACGGTTTAATTTGAAGTTTAAAAATTACTTGTTACAATATTTACTTTCATTATGATTTATTTTTTATTTTTTTTGCACTGGCAGAATAGTTGTCTGTACATTGCATTTAACACACCAAATTCCTTTTATCTGTGCAAAATCTGCTATAATTGTAGACTTTTGTTGTGTTCAGTCAGAGATCCATGATCTGATTTGACTGAATATTACGTAATGCATGTGATAAACCAAAGTGCAAGGTGATAGTGTACAAACAAAGGAAAAGCAGCACACAGTTGCGTTATGCTATTACAGGACTCAAAGTAACTGATATCTGTGTATTGATTCATGATTTATGAACATCACCATGAGTATTTTTTTAATACTCATCACCATTAGTATTTTTTATTTTTTTTGGTGCAGAATACCTTTATTTTTATATTTAGGATGTAGCAAATTCAGTGTGTGTGTTTGTGTGTTAGCTGCTTTTTGATATCTTTGACAGGTTTGTCAAGTTGCTGTGTAAAGCAAGAGCGCTGTAAGGCAAGGTGAAGGGAACTCAAGCTCAGAGTCACTCAGCACAGATACGGTGCTTCGACTGGTTCACGGCTGGAAAATCAAACCTGAACATTGTTCTCAAAGGTTTCAAAACCAGTTCCCACACACTTTATTGTGCTGTATTTTTTGTGCTTTGCAATCTTTCACCACTTTTCAATGACAAGCTCCCCCCCCCCTCAACAAGTAAAGGTATAATGCACCTAAATGCTACATAGATATATTATTTACAGTACCATTCAAAATTTGTTTTATTTGTAAAATTTGCTTTTAATGTTTTTGAAAGAAATCTCATATGCTCACCAAGGCTAAATTTATTTTCTTAAAACTACATTAAAACAGTAATATTGTGAAATATTATTACAATTTACAATAAAAGATTTCTATTTTAGTGTTAAATTTAATTTATTCCTGTGATGGCAAAGTTGAATTTTTTAGCAGCTATTACTTATTGATTTTTTTTTTAAATAAATGTATTATCAATGTTGAAAACAGTTATACTGCTTAATATTGTGTAAACTGTTATTCATTGGAATACAAATCAATAATATTCAAAAGAACACCATTTATTTGAAATAGAAATCTTTTGTAATATAATGTTTTATAATATTATTTGTAATATAAATGTATTTACTGTGACTTTTAAACAATTAAATGTTGTCTTGTTGAATAAAATAGTATACCATGGGTGTTTTAAATTTAGAGTTGATATCCTTTATGTAAATTATGGTATTTTATGTAAATTTATGTGGCGGTTTGGTGCTGTCACTCTAATTAAGATTGGTTATTAATTTAACAACCCTATTTGTTTCAGTGCCTTAAAATATGCCTCTGAATTAAGTTATATAATTAGATTAATATGAATTTAAATAGATATTGCCCCCTTGAGTAACTTTCAAATGAGTTAGCCTCTTCTATGCTATACAGTATATGTTAGTAGAGAGCAGTGTAACTAACTTGACTGTGAGTGAACTACTACATTAAATCACAAGTAGCTTGTTGCAAAGTAGCCTGAAATTGACCATGACATATTTATTTTCCTCACAAATAATATTCTATATTCCAAAAGGGGTTACAACTCCCATTACATTTCTGCAGCAGTTTTCAACCAGACTCCCTCCCTGCAACCCTTCTGGATAATGCATTCGACAAATTGACGACAAGATCGCTCTCAACTTGGCCAAGTGTTTATGTTATCAACCACCTCAGTCCACCATCTGCTGGGACACCAGCCACACATCCCCCATAATTCCCTGTGCAGATGTGGCCATAAGGAGCAAGCTCATCCCAATCTCTCCATGTAATCCCTCTGCAGCCCATTCATACCAGAGAGAGGTTGCACAATGACCAATAGACTTGGCTTTCATCAGTTTGGTTCTTTTCTTTTATTCAGGTCAATGGTGAAGCATGTTCTCACACAGTACAATCACACTGCATGGAACGTCTTATTATGGCAGGAGGATTAAATCGCACATCGTCAAATCAAGTGAAAACAAGCACAGATAACAATAATACATTCGAACCAGGTCTCGTTAATACTTTCCCCTTTTGCCAGTAACCTTTATCTTAATCGGAATTCCTGCTGCGTTTTACTTGCTGATCATTTGTTGAAGAAAATATATGGTTTCAGAGTCATGCACATTTCCTGGCAGAGTAATAACCCCAAAGTCATGAATGACATTTAATGTTTGAAAGATAAGAGGTGAACACAGATTGAAACTGATTACTGACTGACCGCACGCTGTCACCGTTCACTTTGAAAAAGCTAAATATCTCTGCGGAATCTGCATGAAGTGCTTTTTTTAAGTTTGTACTTTATCTTGCTGTGCTGGAAGCTCTTCGCTCATTAAAGCTCTGTTGACGTTAAATTTAAATTAGGATGCTCTCAGAATCTTATTTGGTTCGATATGACAAAATGATTTGGTATATCAGATACTTACTGTCAAAGCATTAACATTTGGCACTTTGATTAAATATATGGATTTTTTCATATTTCATGTGAATGTTCAAGTGTAAGGCAGAAGTTCTGAATTGAAAATGACTAAAATATGTGATGCATACTTATTTATACAACATATATACAACAGAGTCACAAAATTGTACAAAATGTCTTCAATAAATAGTCATGGATCATAAACAGTCCATAAACAAATCGATTTAAAATTTACTTCATTTAATTTTGAATATAAATTGTGAGTTAAATATTTCTTATTAATAATAATAATAGTGTTCTGAAATGGATCACAACATCAGAAATAAACAACCAAGGCTCGCTGGAAATATGTAACTGCCTACATTTCTACATACTGCATAAACTCATCTATACATAACACAATTCACTGCAGTTTCCAGGTGAAATGAACACTAGAGACAGTAAAACAATAACTTTCTTTTCTTTTCACACAAATTATGATTATGGGGCAGATTATTGATGAATAAAAGGCTTGTTTTTAAACGGTTCCTTCTACAATACTATGCAATGGCCTCAAAACACTTTTATCATACGGCATGATTTGCAAACTAATATGTTTTAACATTTGCATCACATAATTTGCTCCATTTGAATAGCTTTTCTGACATAGTAAACTTGCTCGGTAGCTCACCTGGTACAGCATTGCATTTGCGATGCAGAGTATTCGGGTACAAGTCCTGTAAAACACAAGTCATGACACTCCACAAAAGAGCTCAAAGCTTTGAAGCTAAAATGGCATGGTTGCTTCAGCAAATGTGTTTTTCTCACATTTGCCTTTCTTAACATTATCGGTAGGGTTTAGCGTAGGTGGTACATTCATTTCAAATGCAATGGAGCATTTTTGCGCCACTCACCCGACATTTCATTTCTAAATTGCCATGTTACAAACAATGTAATAAAGCATTAGCTCATTCATGTTCAGCTGTTTCAGAGAAAATTAAACTTGCTAGACAGAATATTTTATTTTGAAACTGCTGTAAGACATGCTACAAGCAATGCAATATCATTTTGCAATTATTTCGTACCCACAGGAATGTCATTTTCATGGTGCTGTACTGTTTAATAAACCTGCATCTCCAATGGAGAAAAAAATGAAATGGTTATAGCGCTGCTTGTAGACGTGTCACCTGAACAATTCAGTAAAATGTACCCAAAGCAACATGTTTTAAGTTTTTCCAGAAATTTAGGCACTCACAAATTTCCAATGAGCCAAGGTTGAAAATAAAACAAGCACCCTGAGTTGTACATAATGGTTTTGTAACATTAAAAAAGTCAAGTGTTCACAGTTCAAAACATATAAATTTGCTTCATGCATCCATGACGTTTCCTTCTGAACAGTGATTGGCTGAAAACAAAAGTCACTCATTGTTATTGATGGCTGGTGAGGGTTTGCTCCTCATCCCATCTGTGGCAGCCCTGGAGGTCTCAGTCACAAACCTCCGAGGAATCCACACCGATGTCATGATCCGCACATACTCCTTTCGGAAGTTCTGATTGAGGAGTCCATAAATGATGGCGTTGAGGCAACTGTTGAAATAGGCCATAAAGTAGCTGACCACAAAGAGCCACTCTGGAATATGTGGAGCCATGAGCTCTGGATCGATGGCCACCACGAGACCGATTAGATTGAGTGGAGCCCAGCAGATTGCAAATAAAACGAACACCACGAACATGGTGACGAAGTTGCGCAGGTCGCTGGGTCTCACCCTTGAGCGTTCCTCGCTCTTCACCTTCCTCCTCACCTGTATCACCAGAACCCAAATCCTCAGGTAGCAGAAGGTCACCACCGCGATGGGCACCAGAAAGTGAACCACCACCACCACCACAGTGTACGAGCTGCTGGCAGTCTGTGTGAAGGTGCAGGAGTAAACGCGAGGGTCATAACTCAGCGAACCCACGGAGAAGTTGGGAAGAATGGCGAGCACAGTGAGCGCCCAGATCAAGGCCACTAACAGCAGCGTGTTACGGAAGCTGTAGAGACGTCCGTAGGCAAAACTGTGACAGATGTAGCAGTAACGGTTGATGGCGATGCCAGTGATGTTGAAAACCGAGCCGATCACACTCAGGCCCATTAGGAATCCGCTGACTTTACACTGGGTTTGCCCCAGAGACCAGCCGTCATGGAAGATCGCGTACAAGACCAGCGGGTAGGGATAGAAAGCCACCACCAGGTCAGCGAAGGCCAAACTGACAACAAACACGTTGCCTGTGCGAAACAGAGCGAGAGAAAGAGAGCTTGTTAATAATCTCATTTCTACTAGCACAGATTGATGTTGATGCGACAGCACAGTTTGTTATGCCTACTGTGACAAAATCGAAAAATGTACTACTTACACCTGCTCCTGGTGCCCCTCTGTTCTGTAAAGTTTATTTCCAACCTATTTCAGCTCACCTGGCCTGTGATTTTTCAAGTGATCCTGAAGAGCTTGCTTAGCTGGTTCAGGTGTGTTTGATTAGGGTTGGAGCTAAACTTTGCAGGACAGTGGATCTCAGAAGCAAAGTTGAAGACCTAGGTTGTATTATGTGAATAAAATTAATTAAAAAAAAAGTTGATGTTGTTGTTTTTACATTTACAATTTGACACTGTGGCCATATCAAAAGTTTGTATTATTCCGTGAACAAATCAATCAATAAATAAATTATATATATTTTACAAATTTGTAGATATGACTAAACTAACATCTGATTACCATTATGAATTACTGTGTTTTGGTGTATACTTCTGCGTTTACACTACACTACCATTCACAAGCTTGTGGTAATTTATATATATATATATATATATATATATATATATATATATATA